GTACATACTACTTTTAATTAAGATTTATTTTCCGCCAAATCCTGTTTAATATCGTTTGTGTAGCCTTCTCACACGTTCAAATTAAAGTCGGTGCTTGACATTACGGATTTCCCATAACTGTAAATGATGAAGCGCGACAGTTTGTCTAGACAAAGATAAATATTTCACGCTTGAACAAACACCGAAAAATTGACCCGTTCTGACTACGATTTGTTAGAAGAGTTTCCCTAATGGTCGCGGGTCGCGTGTCGCGGGTTCTGAAAAAAGTCGCGGGTTTTGAAAAAAGTCGCGGTTTTTCTATAGCATGCCTATAAAAGAAAGTCAAAGCACTGGAAAAGCATTGGAAATAAATAAAAACCTAGTTAACAACAACAACAACAAAATAGTAATAAAAACAAACAATACAGGAAATCAACCAACTATTATCAAAACTTTCCTGTAGGGTGATGTTGTTGAATTTTGAGCAGAGCCGAATTTTGCACTGGAAATGTCATCTTTTTTATTTGAAACTCAAATAAATGTGACAAGTTTTGTAGACCCACATTTACCTGTATATATCTTTACGAAAACACAACAAGTTTTCTCATATTTGGCATAAAATGTTATAAATTTGTGAAAGCACTATGCAATAATGACAACAACTTACCCCATGTACTGTCACATTAACTATCTTGAAGTTAAGTACGTTAGCCAAAGCAGAAATCACCATGTCAGTCACATAATTCTTCTTAAGCTTTTCCAGTGCTTCCAGCCAGGTTTTCGGCTTCACTGTGTCCTGGAAGTCGACCTCACACAAGAAATCGAATCTGTCCAGTCCCTTTTCCTGCCAGATTACATTCATCATATGAGAGAAAGAACATCAATTACAAAAGGCTGCCCTAGATCATGCACGTTGGTTGATCCAAGTTTCGTAAAATAATTATAAAGTTTGTTTCCGCTTTCAAATGCTGCTGCTTATCGAGAAGTGATAAATAATAAAATAAATTTTCAACGCACCGTACATTGCTCTTGTTGTTGCTTTCAATTAAGGTTTTTTCACACAATTACAATTTGTTTAAGCTCGTATATATGCTTTTTTTTGTAAACATAGCAATATAATTTTCTCAACTGAAATCAAAGCTAAGTTTTGAACCGTCTAAAAAATTCTCATCAAATTCGTACACCACCGCTGTCATTGTAGCCCACAAATTTTTTAAAAGTTTAGTAATTAATGCTATCATAAATGCAACCTCCTGTCTTGGCGCTCACATGGTTGCCTCGTTTGCTCGTTCGGTTCTTGTCCAGATGTGAGCGTAGAACGCGTTTGGGAACTTTTGAGAACCCCTAAGAAGCTAGCGTTGCTCATATATATATATATAGGTATCTTATATTTTTTGGCAGCCGAGTACAAGCTTTACGTAAGCTTACTTACATCAATTTGATGGTTCTCGAGGTGCTGGAAAACGAGCTTCTTGACTTGTTCTCTCTCCAGGCTCAGTTGGTGGGCTGCCGCCGTATAAAAACAATCGCCATCACCTCTCGGATCGAAGGAAATAAAAAAAACCCATTTCTTTAGTCGCTGACGAAGCTTAAACATTCCTTGCTGACTCTCCATTCTAGAATGCGTAATTTTACAATGCACCGTCGCACACTATCATCCGGGCTCTTGCTTTTCAGATCAAAAGGCGGGAAAACCGAAGGTGCATTCCATTTTTACACTCTGATCAGTGGGACTAACCAAGATAAGCTATTGCAAAATTGAACATTTTCCGATGAAACCAGGCCAATCGGTCGGAATGGTCTTTGCATTCCGTTCCTCAGTGCCACGTGTGTACTAACCAGTTTATGGAAATGGAAAGGTAAATTCCGATACGATCAGGGCAACCAGTCAAACGATGCATTTTATTAACACTAATTTCAAACATTCGCTTTTTAAAATTAAAATTTTATGGACCTTTCTTTTCATCATCATCAATTTAAATCATGCTTTTTTACAGCATCGTTATTTAAAGATGCCTTTATTTCGAGAAAATCTACCTCGCCGTCAGAGTCAGTTGACATACTGTCATTCAGTTGATTGAAAACATCTTTAGATTCGTAAATTTAACGGTGCTGAACGTGGCTGTTTTACTTTGTGAAATTTTAACGCACAGGCTTGAAATTCACTACGAAATAGTTCTTATAAACACACGCAAATTCGCGTTAATTAAATAAATAAATGTAAACTTAACTTTGCGAAAATTCGCGTTAACGCGTAGATTTTGTTCTTCGTTATATTCCTATAACACAATCTTCTGAAAACCCGCGACTTTTTTAAAACCCGCGACCCGCGACCCGCGACCCGCGACCCGCGACCATTAGGGAAACTCTTGTTAGAAAGGGACTGAAGTACTCATCATTGCTTTTAGAGGTTAAAAAGGGCAGGTTTAGTACCTCTTGGGCTGTTCAGCCTCAAAAGGTCCACAGCAGCAGCCTCTGTGATACCTGTCAGGGTATTACACCAAAAATATGTGACAGTGTGTTTTTGCAGAATTGGTGCCTCTCGGGGGTGAAAAAATTTTATGCCACGCCCACAAACCAGGACCGTGAATGGTCAACACTTGTAACAGCGCGTCTACCTGTAGCCCGACTTACGATCTTAGGCCTAGTTTATACGTCGCGCTACAGTCGAATTTAATTCAGACGAATTTAATTCCATTAAATTCGTCGTTCCGTCGACATAAATCGTGGCGTGGTTTTATGCGTCGAAATCAATACGGTCGAATGTAATTCTCTTCCCAAATGCAGTGTCTCTGGTCAGAGGTGTCATTTTGAAACAAACATGGCGCGGGCTAAAGCTCTGAAAACAATTTTGCTCGAGAAAATTTCCAGGGAAAGACAACGGCGACGTCAACTACGGCGTAATATGGTTACATTGGTGTTAATGAGGAAAAGGTTTATCGTACGACTTTGTTTGCTGACGTGTCTCCTGTTACAGTCAAGTGAAGATGAAATTAGCGCTCGAAGACCTCGCAGTTGTCGTCGTAGTCATAAAAACACAGGTTGGTGGGAATTGGTCTGGGCGTCCTATGATGAAGGAAGATTTAAGAAAACCTTTCGTGTATCAAGGAATACGTTTAACTTAATTTTGAAGAGTCTTCGACCTGATATTGAGAAAGATTTTGTCACAGAGCAGCCCGTTTCTGCCGAATGTAGGCTGGCTATATGTCTTTACAGATTAGGTAGAGGTGACTACCTATACACCATTGCGGAACTGTTTGGCCTTGGTGTGACGACCGTTCACAAAATCATAGAGGAGGCATGTGAAGCGATCATAAGAAACCTGTGGAAACCTTCGGTGCAAGCGCATTTTCCAATCACCAAACAGAATATTATGGAGAAAATGGTGGATATGACAGCGTTTTGGCAATTCCCCTGCTGCTGGGGTGCTGTAGATGGGTGCCACATCCCCATTCAGTGCCCTCCTGGCGGTCTGAAAGCCTGTAAAGAGTATCATAACTTTAAGAACTTTTATTCAATAGTATTAATGGCCATTGTCGATGCACAGGATCGTTTCATCTAGGCAAGTGTTAGTTTTCCAGGAAATTCACAAGACTGCGTCATTTTCCAGTCCACTGATTTGTGGCACAACATTACTGAAAACAGCATCATACCATCAATTTCTCAAGTCATTGAAGGTACCGAGGTTTACCCGATGATTTTGGCGATTCTGCTTTCCCATTCAGAGTGTGGTTAATGAAACCATATGGTAATGCTAACCTAACACCTGAAGAGGGCTATTTTAACTATCGTCTAAGCCGCGCAAGAATGGTAACTGACACAGGACGAAATTGCAAGAATCCGTAAACGGAAACGTGGCAGAAACATGTTAAACCGTTCCGGAAACACGACGGATAACCTGTGTTTCCGTTACCGGTTTCGTGACGTTTTCTCGCGTTTCCGTTGCTGCGTATACAACGGAACCGGACCACTTTTTGTGCATGTTTCCGTCAAGTTTAAGCTAAAGGAAACAAATGTTTCCGCAATCGTAATTTCGGGTTTACATTTGCGGAAACACAAGAAAACGTTGCGGAAACATGTCTTTTCCATGTTTCCGTTGACGTATTCCGGGCTACTGAATGGGTGATGGAACCTGCGGAAACAAAAGAAACCATTCCGGAAACTGAGGTCTGTTTCATGTTTCCGCTACAGCTTACGTCTCGGAAACGTGTTAATTCAAATTTATCTTACCCTTGCGGAAGCTTTCTAGCTTTGGTAAACCTTTTTTTCCCTCTTTCTTTCCGAAACGCACCCTTATAATGTTCATGGTAGGTGGAAAGTCTTATTAATTAATTTACAGAACACCTCTTATGGCGTTTTCCCCTTCAGTCAAAGAAATACTACAGCTATATTTTGCCAAAGCGTCATTTATTTTTCTTCCATAAGATAAGGTTGTAGTTAAATAGAGCTTCAATTCATTACAGAGCCTACTATTCGCAAAATACTTGTAGTATATACATCTACTTTGGTCTCTATGTCAGACTGGGAAAGAAAACTTGTCACCATTTAACAAATCGCATTCCAAATTACTTTTGAACAAATGTTACAATGGCTGTTCTGAGCACTATAAATGAAAACAGGCATAAAGCTTGCCAAGAACAATGAACGTCTTTATAGTGTTTTCTAAAATAATGTCTATTCTTAGGAACCTCTCAGTCCAATTATTCGGTACGAATTGCCCAACGAGGGCCATTGGTGGGGCAAGGCCGTACAGATGGCTCTTCGGTTCTGGTCAAACGTGCACTTGCACGACGCTGCTTTTTGCTAAGTCCTTCCAAATAGGCCTCGTCCAGTTTTGCTTTCAAATTCTTCAGTTTACTTTTCTCCCACACCAGTTTATGTACTTTCCTTGGTTTCGGACCCCTAGATGAAGCAGGATCATCGTTGTCGCTTTCTTCCGATGACATGAAGTCGATGGCATTTGGCGAACAGAAAATTTCTCTTGCCTTTTCTTTGTCGTTGTCCGACAAGATAGCCTTCTCTCAGCTTGAAAGGCGTCTTGATAGTTTCTAAACGATATAAACAGAGAACAAAAGTGTCAAAAAATGCGCAAGGAGCATTTTGGCTATCACCAATGACACCTTGCTGTTACAAGATATACATGTACTTCCCTCTGGTAAAGATTACACTTTTCTTTTTCAACTTAAATTGTGAGTATTATACAAAACAAAGTGTATATATAAAAATTGATAAGTTTCTTTGACAAAGCAACACAATTAATTAAATGACATGTTATCAAGGACAAAATATGTATTTATCGTGTTAAACCATAGAAAAGAGCTCGAATACAGGGATTCATTTATTAGAAATAGCTGTAACGCGATGTTGCATAGCTAGGATCAAGCTCAACATTCCTGAACATGTGCTTATATGGTTCTCAATCTGATACTTACTCTCTTTAATCGATTTTGTTGCTTCATTTGACTTCGATGTTCTTCAAACTTTTTATTTGTTTTTCTTGTTCTGTCATCCCGAAGAGATTTCCAGTATTGATGAACCGCGCCTAAAAATGAAACAGTGCTGTTCATTACTGTCACGTTTCATCAAAAATAACTAAGAGCATGACCGTTTCATTTAACTAGCGCAGAACGACAAAAAGTTTAAACAGCAGCAAGCACGCTCTTGCAGTTCTGAAGGCGTTCTCTATCTTTACTGGTAAAATACGTATTTCATTTAAGTAGCTATACAGTTAGTTCAATCGTTTCTATGGGATGATCCGGATGAAGATTGGTGATCCGAGACCATTAGGATCACTGTGCATCAAAGGAACTGGTGAATCCTTGTTCAGAGTGGATTTGACCATGATCCGAGTAATCTCGGATCATCCCAAATAAACGCACTCAAGTCAGTTTACTGTGCTAATATACGCTAACCCTAAACGTAGAGTAGCATTGCAAAAAGCGAAAAAAAGGAAACCAACGGGTATTACTTGCTTGTGCTAAAAAAACCAACTTACTCTTAATGACAGCCTTTGTCCACTTGTCCTTGCCGTACACTGAGCGGACTTCTTTTAGCACTCTCCTAGCCATAGTCTTATTTTCTGGGCTATTAAAACTGAAAAAGGTATAAGATATCAATTTAAGAATTTTACTCAGCTAAATTAAAGGTGTGAGAGCAAAACTAAATAGAAGCGATCACATACTGTAAAGCCAATCATAACGGCAGGTAATTTAGTGCAACAATCAAACAGCCAATGAGATAAGTTTTCGAATTATTTATCCGATTGTTGTTTGTTTTGCTTTAGACCATGGCGAGCCTATTGTTTCCCTGTCGAGAAATTTTGTTTATTTTATAATAACCCAAGGAAAGAGAGCACACTCGTAATGTCCTTGCTTAATTGCATGCATGCACTACCTACACTATGTGTTGCCCACAAGTATAAAATTCACTAAGTTATTTTTACGTTGCAAGCTAGCATGGCCTAAGATCTTGTTTAACAACAACTAAAAGCTCCTCCATCGTCGCCACACAACAGGTCAACTCTTTTTGAAGTCGAGGAAAAAGCGAATAGCTATTGTAGCCGGCCTACTACACCTCAGCTGTAACTATACATTAGCTCCGTTTTGTTTTACCTGACGCTCAAATCAAAGTTAAGCTGATTCTCCTGATCTTCTTCTTGTCCTTCACCCTTTGTTAGTTCCTTGCACACTTTCCTGACAGCATTCTTGTATTTTTGTAAAATAAATAAAAAAAAACAATGTCAAAACAAACTAAAAACAGCAAGTTGATTATTAGCTGGAAGTTCATAAAAGCAAAATTAATTTTAAAAATGCCGTAGCGAATTGGGACTTTTAAAAAGCTGTCGCTTTTAACGTAACTTCCTCCTCGGATCGGAGCAAAGTGATCTAAGTGACTTGCTCTGTGGAAGCAGCTCAATACTTCAGCTTTTAAAAGTTAGTTTACTTGCTTAATATAAAATAGAGCAAACGTACGTACGTCTCGCGCCTTCGGAAAAAGTTGAAAGCCGCGATAGCGATAATGGAAATGTTCTAAAGAAACTTCGGCTGTTGGGGCGAGTTGGCCTTCAGTTGATTGAAATTATGTCTGGATTACAAATTTTACCCGGCGAGTAAAGGAAAACATAACAATGAAACAACGATAATAAGCGGAATAAATCACTTTAAAATTTCCCGCGCACCGCCATCTTGGATTATATGACGTCACTGCATTTTCTAGCAATAACATTGGCGTCCGTTTCTTCTTCCTTTTATTTTGTTGTATTCCCTTTGTCGAGTAAAATTTGTAACTTAGGAATTTTGTAAAATATTTCGCGCAACTCGTCGTCAGCTCGCCTCAACTGCCGAGGTTCCCATTAAAATAAAATAGAGTAAATTTATGGTCTGCGGAAAACGTTCAATGTGGTCGATATGTGGATAAATTTTTTCCGCAGACGTAAGCCGTCCAAATATTCGCTGTAGTTTACGGCCCCCGCACACTAGTCGATATTTTGCCGAAAAAAAATAGATTTTTATCGGTGTCAAATTTGTCAGCTCATCAGCTTGCCGCACACTAGCAACAAGGTAACAAGATCGGGCCTTGTTACCTGGCTGTGCTAGTTTGGAAAATGTCTTGTCGGGCCTAGTTGTTGGCTACTGTGCGGTGGATTAAGACAACTTGTTGCACACTAGCCGACAATCGGCTATTTATTCTATACATGTAAAGCCAGCCAATTTCATGTCCGTGAACGTAGGTTACATAACCCGTCGGTACGAGGTGAATGAGTCTGGATTTTCACTGTCACATAGTTTTAAGTACATTAATGCGTGTAACCTGGCTTTACGTGAATAAAGTAAAATAAAGCAAACGCATGGACGACATACGTCTGCGGAAAAATTTGAATGTGGATCAACTTTTTTCCGCCTCACCGCGCGCTACGGTGTTCGCTGTTCGCTTGCGCGTGTCGCCAACAAGTGGGGCAATTTGGCAAACGTTTACAACACTGTCACTCTGAGTCTCTTCGAGTAGCCGCACTTTGTTAACCAAATTTGTGACTATTTCTTGGACGAATTTTTAAAATGATTGATTTGCTTTTAACGATAAGATTTCAGCTAACCAATGAAGGAATTATTAAGCTTACCGTTAGCATACGTAACACAAACTTCACACCTATTTTCAACACACGGTAAACCGTCTTGTGATTCCTGACGCTCATCCTTGACCGTAACTTCGAAGTTGCTTAGCCAGAAAGAAGACAAAATTACTTACCGAACACTCAGGATCTTTGTCTTTGGACTTCTCAAAGAGTTGCCTTCTCGTTTTTGTCGTAAGATTCGTTACTTGACTTTTCAGTTCCTGAATTTCTTTGCGGATCACCGAAACTTCGGCCAGCAATCGCCTCAAGAGATCTCGATCTTCCAGGGCAGCTCTCGGGGTTTCTTCACTAAGCACTGTCCTGTCTTCCATTTCTGCGTTGGCTGATTCCATGGTTTTGCTGAGTTGGAGTAAAACTGAGAAAAAATTGGAAATACACAGTAGAACGACGACTGGAAATCACGCGCAACTTGACAAATGCCCAGACAATGCAAATTTCCCGCCTCGTCTCCAGTTTGACGCAGTCACCAGACAATTGTCGTCAATGGCAACAAACCCGTTTGCTGAGCCCGCAGCGGCATGCGTCGCCGATTTACGAGAATTCACACGTTTGAGGAGAGAGTTTTCGTCAAGTTTTTGGTTATTTGTATTGGTATATTAGGTTATAGAACGCAGGAGTATCGCAAAGAATGAAAAGAAAAGGTTTACACGGCGAAACAAGTGGTAAAAAGAGGCGATCAAGGTGTAGACAACGATGTCCTCACTGTCAGCAGTTACTTAGCAATTCACAGTACCACGAGCATCGTAAACGGTACTTCAATCCAGTACACAAAGAATGGAAAACCGTGGCCGATCTAACGATAGTTAAAGCATCTATGCCTATACCAGATGTCCCTGGATCAAGCTCAAGTGATAGCGAAGGTAAGCTATGGGTACATGTGACTGCGTGCATTCAAAGCATTCAAAGCTAAGCTATTAAAAAAAGTCTTGGTGTGTGTTTTGATTTCACATGTTAATGACTCTTGTCATTTACATGTGAAATTAACAGCGCATTTGTCAAAAAAATTGTAATAAAAACCTGTAAGATCTTTGATTAGCAAACGACCCCAAAATTAATCAGGTCCATCCTTGACATGCACGTCAGGTTTCTTTTTATTTTGAATTTCTATTCAATTTTGTATAGGCCAAACAAGAATGAGAGTCATGTGAGAGTTGAAGGGTGGTAGAGTACATGTAAACACATAGTTATTGTAAGAAATACATAATTATTCCTTTTTATGCCAGGTTTGTTTCATTTAATGGCTTTCAAGCAAATTGATTCTGACTGATTGGTATTCCAAACAAATAAAATTCAGACCAAAATAACATGGTTTTCATGCAGTGCAGTATGTGTTTGTTTGTCTACTGGAAACAAGGCTTAAAGAAGTCCTGTCTGGTCTTTCAGGATAAGTTTTTCCTGCTGCATGGTTAAGGGCCTGCAACCGGCTCAATTTGTACAACTGTCTCATTTGGCCCAACTGGCTCAAATCAGACAACTGTCTCATTTGGCCCAACTTAATCAAATGACACAACTGGCTCAAAACACATTTGTCTCATTTGACCTAACAGGCTCAAATCACACCACAATCTCATTTGGCTTAACCAGCTCAAATGACACAATTGTCTCTTTTTGGCCTAACCAGCTCACATCCCAGAAATGTCTCACTTGGCCCAACTGGTTCATATCACACAACAATCTCATCTGATCCAACCGGCTCAAATCACACAACTGTCTCATTTGGACAAACCAGATTAAATGACACAACTGTCTCATTTGGCACAACCAGTTCAACTTGTCTTATTTGGGCCAACCAGATCAAATGACACAGTGGTCTCATTTGGCCCAACCGACTTAAATCACACAACTGTGTCATTTGGCCTAACTGGCTCAAATCACACAACTGCCTCGTTTGGCCCAATCAGATCAAATGACACAACTGTCTCATTTGGCCCAACTGGCTCAAATCCCACAACCGCCTCATCTGACCCAACCGGCACAAATCACACAAGTGTCTCATTTTGCCCAATCAGATCAAGTGACACAACTGTCTCATTTGGCCCAACCAGCTCAAATCCCACAACCGTCTCATCTGACTCAAATCACACAACTGTCTTGTTTTGCCCAATCGACTTAAATCACACAACTGTCTCATTTGGCACAACTTCTCTCATTTGAGCCAACCAAATCAAACGACACAACAGTCTCATTTGGCCCAATCGACTTAAATCACACAACTGTCTCACCTGACCCAACTGGCTCATATCACACAACTGTCTCATTTGGCCCATCTCATTTGGCCCAACTGGCTCAAGTCACACAACTCTCTCATCTGATACAACCGGCTCAAATCACACAACTGTCTCATTTGGACAAACCAGATTAAATGACACAACTGTCTCATTTGGCACAACCGGTTCAACTTGTCTTACTTGGGCCAACCAGATCAAATGACACAGTGGTCTCATTGGCCCAACCGACTTAAATTACATAACTGTCTCATTTGGCCCAGCTGGCGCAAATCACACAACTGTCTCATTTGGCCTTAAACTGGCTCAAATAATACAATGTCTAATTTTGGCTGTCTCGTTTGGCCCAACCAGCTCAGTGCACACAACTGTCTTCTTTGGGTAACCGGATCAAATGACACAACTCGTCTCATTTGGGTCAACCAGATCAAATGACACAATTGTCTCATTGGCACCAACCGACCTAAGTCACACAAATGTCTCATTTGGCCTTACGGATTAAATAACACAGCTGTCGCATTAAGATTCCTTGTTGTTCAAAGAACCATCTCGCGTTTGTGTTTTGGTAGGATGTAGCAAAAAACTGCAAATCCGTTTGCAGAAACATGACGGAAACGAACAACGGCGGAAATGTGCTGGCTTAAATATGACAGAAACGTGACTTGGCATTTCCGTTCCGTTAACGTGACGGAAACACGTAGACTTTAATTTTCACGTTTCCGTAAGACGTAAACATAACGGAAACATGGAGTTGCATGTTTCCGCCACGTTTCAGAAATACGGAAACATGTGATTTCGTGAGCGAGCCTATGGACAACTGAAGAGCAGGTGGAGAGCTGTATCGAAAGCTAGAATGTAGACCAGATTCGGTGAAACTGGCCGCGCTCGCGTGTATTGTACTTCACAACATCTGCATTACCACAAAGGACAGCCTTCCTGCCCAACTGGATTTGTCAATTGATCCTTTCACACAAAAGAAAAGGTCCAGAGAAGAAATACGAGATCTGTTGCAGATGCGCAACTGCCCTAAGAGAAAGGATTCATCTCGCAAAGCTGGAGCAATAAGGGAGGCTCTGACCAGGAAAATGTGGCAGGAAAAAGAAGCAAACGAACTGGAAATGTAGACGTGATTAAAACAATTTTTTTGTCATCCATGTTATTTTCAAAGTTCTCCATAGATTGTAACAAATAAATCACTTCGCATTTCAGGTAAACTTCATAAAAGCAACAGTGTGTTGTTCCATAAAATATTTAACGCCACTGTGAAGTTTTTTGTCAAACCTCAAAATCCCGCTAACTCCGGCAACCGTCTTAAACTTTAGCGCGTACTTCAAGAACTTGCTACTTGCCTTCACGCCGGAACGCAAGTTCTATGCTCTTAATCCACGGGGGTAGAAATGAATATTTTGTGGAACTGTCTCAATTTCAACTTAGGCATTACATGTACAAGCCCTGCAAATCGGCATTATATGAAAAACTCGCTTACTTCACCATTACATTTCTTTTGAGTACAAATAACAGAAAAAAGAATCAAATTGGACCAAAGATACTGAATGTAACGACATTCCTAATACGTTTGTTGCATTACTTCTCATCAATGCTTTAAGGGACCCATTTTAAATGCAAGTTAGAAATGCACAGGTCTCGAGTTCATGTTCAAGCAAGCAATGATAGTCATTGGATCAAGGAATACTATTAATATATGACATTACGTTGCATCACTGTATATTTTTCAGACATTACATACAGTACCATGAGATAAACACTGTTATGATGAGAATTGCAATACTGTAGTTCAGTTATTTCCTTCGTTAAAGAAATGTATTGATTATTTCACCATATTATTTTCCTTTGTTTTCCAACTTTTGTAATATAATTTCAAACAAATAAACAAAGGGATATAAAAAAATGAACGGAAAGATTCAAAGTGATACACAACATTTGAATGATTTGTAAACCATAATGTACATTTCAGTAATACGCATTATGATATCCTGTTCCTTTCATGTTTTTGAGGGAACAACTTTGAAAGGGTATCTACACTGTCACCAGATGAGATGTATTTAGGCTCATTTATATGAAGGGTAGCCTTGAGGAGAGAGCAGTACTTGTTTTCCATTGCACAAGTTTTTGCTTTGACTACTCATAACCACAGAGTAAACATTAAACAGAGAATTACTGAGGATCGTATCTTGACAACCAAAACATACCAAACTACCTATAGTGGTATCTCAGTGCAAAGAAACTACATGGGAACTCAGGTAATATTATTAATACCTCTGCTGCCAAAAATTAAATAGTTTGGCCTGCACCTGTACATAATTTGCATCCACTTCAGGAACACTGCCAGGTACACCTTATAAGTTGGCTATCGGCTCATTCAATCAACTATGACAGTTAACGGTACAAAACTTACTGGTCGGACATGATCACCATCTCGTTGATATTTGCTTTAAAATATGTTCTCAAAGTGCCTTTAACACCCCCATGCCCCCTCCCCACCAACTGTTTCCCCAATTTTTCCCTCAAATAAATATTTGTATTTTTCTCTCAAATATATATTTATATTTTTCTGCGCAAAATTCCACTGTTTTGTTTTAATTTACTTAAGACCTGGATTTTTATTGATAACAACAACGACCAACTTGGACCACAAGAAGCATGGCTCCATTCCTGTTTGACATCACAGACTGCTTTCAAAGTATTTTTGCACTGCAAAGCAGTTTGTGATGTCATGAACAAGGAATAGATCCATGCCCCTCACAGCTTGGTTGTGTTTGAGATAAAAACAGACCTAATTTACAAATTCTTTTAAAAAACCAATATTTAAACAAAATGGCACACTTCATGAACCATCATATCAGTGCAATATTGAGATTTCTGCTGGTGGAAAAAGATTATTTGAGTTATAGGCACTTCAAGACCATAGTGTAGAAGGCTCTTTTCAAAGCAGTTCCAAAATAACTTTAAAATATTAGAGTGCATGCCAAGACCCTTTCAAAATTGGTACAACTGTGAAACACCAGATTGTCCTTGTGAAGTCATAGTTGACTGAACGTGATGTAGGAGAGACTGCTCATCATTTTTTGGAGCAGATGACATCAATGGTGTGTACCCAAAGGATGGGGTACTTGGGTGACTGCTGCTAACTCTGGGATTGGACACAGATTGTTGTGCAAAATTATGGCTTTGATGATGAAAATCATCAGAATAAGAACTGCTATAAGGATGGAAATTACCATGGGGTTGCATGTTTGGATTGCTGTTGGGTGTTAGTAGGCCACACATCAACTGGAAGTACCTCATTTCCTGTTCTCTAGACTGCCTCATATCTTCCCTTAAAATTTGCAAAAGTTCTTTGGTGGGATCATTCTCAATAGTACTTTGAAGTAGTTCAACAGCTTTTGCCATCTGCTCAGTTTTAGCTCTTTTAGAGGCAGGTTTCTTCGCCAAGAAGCATTTACCTTTGGATGGGACTTCTCCACTGCTATCCATAAGGCTGGATGAAGTGCTTGCACAGTCATCATCATCACCATCAACCACTTGATCATTCTTGCTGGTATCTTGCTTGTCTACATTTCCAATATGTATCAACTCACCATTTCACCTTCCTAAATGAAACCTGACTCTTCTTCTTCTTCTTCTTCTTCGCGAATACATGTTGTAAGATCCCTCTGACCATGACCTTTGTCATCCACTTCGCTCTGACAATCTTTGACAAGCTTTTCTGTACAAAGAGCACACTTGAGACAATACCCAACACGTTTATTTGGTTGCCAGCCGATAGCTTCTTCATTAACTTCAGGAATCAAACATTCCGATCGAACACATACACTTTTACCACACGTTATACAAGAATACTTCGTTTGTCTCTCACAATTACTGCAAGAAAGTGACAAACTTTTCCTCCAAAGCGCCATGGCTATGAACTACAACGTAAACTCGCGCCGAAGTGCCCGAGAGGAATTTCTGCGCATGCGGAATACTTGAAAAGCTCGCCACGGGTCGCTTCGGGCTCGCCAAAATAAATTGAAATACATTAAGAAAATGTATGCATTTCGTTCGACGCGAAGCTAGCGCGACGTTAAAACTGAAGACGCTTTATCGATATTTTATCCGTCTTACCAAGACGGATAAAACGTCTAGGACGAATTTAATTCGTTTTAGACGTCGCGCTATCGTCGAATTTAATTGCTTGTGGGACCTTGAATTAAATTCGTCTGAATTAAATTCGACTGTAGCGCGACGTATAAACTAGGCCTTAGATCGTCTTGTTTCGGCTTGGGCGACGCGCTGTCTCTAATGGCATGTGCGAATAAGCGTGTTTCGTACCATGACTAACACGAGTACAGTAGATCTTCTATTTTATGAAAAGAAAAAGAAAAGAAGACCTGCAAGTAAATGTTTGGGATTTTTCGAGGCAGAACGATGTCATGATGTCAGAATTTTGATTTGCTTTCATTAAATTTTTGCGCCAAGACTACTGAATTTGCCTTGAACGCCTGGCATATTTTTATTCCGAAAAGGACCTGAGAACTAATATATTTCCCAACAAGAACATTTAACAAATAGAGATCACCTTGACTGTGCTCTGTTCTGTTATAAAGCACGCAGGAAGCGGCTAGTGCACGAAAGAAGTGTAGGTAGAAACACGAGACGTAGTCGAGTGTTTCTTCCCACTTCTTGAGTGGGATTGATAGAACTTATCATTGAAGCAAAATAACCTACATGGTTTATGCTTTTGTTATTTTTTTGTGAGATTCTTATTACGGCTTGGCGCAAAATTAATGCTTTGCTTAATGACTAAATAAAAGACTCAAAGACAAGATAAACTGCAAATGGTACACTCTTGGAGCGGTTATAATTCTTGAATTTAAGTATAGTACCCTTATCTGGCATCTCAATCCGGACTGCCTCATTGCTTCAGCAATGCTCTTCATGGAGTGCAAGCTTTTCTTGGCTTCGGACACCTGAGGCAATACTCTTTTACTTTCTTATGATTTGAGGCTTGACTTGATTGCAGCCAAGTTTTCCATTAGCTTTGGCAGTGAGTTGAAATTAATTTACAATTAACTCAAAACTGTTTAGAAGGGAAAAACTGTATAAACAAGCTATTTTTAGTTAACACTCACTTAGTTCTTCACCAGATGGTTGCAATGGGACAATTTTGCTGTCCTCTAATTGGTTCACCTCGAAGTAAAGTCATAAACATTAAAAGAAAATAGTTATTGGATTCTGAAATATATCCTTATGCAAAATAC